ACAGAGGGGGGGTGGCTATTATCTCAGCAAGTCTTGGAAACCTCTCATCTGTTCTCTTAAAAACCCCCACCGGGATATGACGCCAGATCCAGAAGGCCACACAGGCCATGACCAACCAACATAACAACCCCCCCCCTCAGCTTATGGGTTAGTGCCCAGCCTTTAACCTTGCCTTTCTCTCCCCTACACAAAAACCATGCTTGTCCCAGCTCCCTTCCCCCCCTCCTACACTACTGTTTTCACTTGTATACTTGCCCTTCCCCCCCGTCCTTCTCTGCTCTCACATAGCTGTGTATATTTCCACGCAGTCTGCTTTTACTGGTTCTCACGGTCTCTTCGCTTGCAGATTTCTTATATTTTTTTTCTACCCTGAAGATGGAGGTGATACGTTCCCCCGAAACGTCGGTTAATACCACATATACACAGTGCCAAATCCCAGAAGACTGCTTTCTTCATAGTCATTAAAACTCTGTGAATCTAAAATGGGCTATGCTAGGTGTGTCCTTATTTATACGAGACATGGCATGAACTCAACGAATCAGAAAGTGAATGTAGACACAAACAAAACATCAATAATTATCAGGCTGGTGAATCATCCTGATCATGGCCACATTGTCTCGCTGAACATTATTTTTTAACTATCCAGAGTTGGCCCAATTCTTGGAATCCAACAACACAGTTTGTGTAGGCGCTTTACCCACCAACAGGAAAAATGTCACCCCCTACATAAAGGATAAAAGACTGATAAATGCAGTGCACTATGATCAGCATCCAGGACGTGTAAGAGTACACATCTGGCAGGATAAGCAAAGTTATTATGATCTCAATTTACCACAAAGATGATACGCACTCCAAAGTAAATAAAGCAAGTAAGAAAGAGACAAAACCTGTAGCAGTACATGAATACAGTTGGAACATAATAGCAATTCATTTCAGAGATCAGATGCTACATCTTCATTTGCCTGAGCAAAAGGTAGGTTCTAAGTGGTACACGAAATTATTCATGATGTTATTCAGTGTAGTCATCCATAATTCCATGATAATATACCAGTCCAAGCCAAACAATAAGAGAACAGACTTTCTTAAATTCAGGCTTCTTCTAACCAAGGTTTCACAGAGAAACACAGGTCTACCATCCCTTACCCTGTATAAGAAAGTTCTTCAACCAAACTGCCTCCAAACAGACTGACTGATTATCACTTCCTATAGAAAATTCCCACCACAGGAAACAAGGCTAAGCCACACAAGCGATGTGTCATGTGCTCAACACATGGAAAGTAAAGAGAAACAGTTTATCGGTGCAGTAGATGATATAAAGGGTATTTCTATGCCAAAGTAGGAGGAGAACAGAGAACAGAGTTTACATGAAATGATAATGGAGTAGTAGTAGTAGTAGTAGTAGTAGTAGTAGTAGTAGTAGTAGTAGTAGTAGTAGTAGTAGTAGGTAGTAAACTTTTGGCCACCTTCAAATATCTGAGTACAATGTTCCCAAATTGTAACATTCTTAAATTTACTTGAGAATCTCCAAACTGAATGAAACAAAATCTGACGGACCATATTTTGATACACAGGAGACGGCATTCATGTGTGCATGATGTCTGATTTTTCAGGGGAGAGGATTGTGATACTGACCACTGTCTGGTGGGGGCAAAAGTTTGGGAGACTGGCACTAATTAAATAAGCAATGCAAAAATTTTATATGGCGAGATTCAATCTCAAAAACTAAATGATGTAGGCAGTATCAGATTAAAATCTCAAACAGATTCACAGCTTTGGAAAACTCAGATGATGATGATGTCAATATGAACAGAGCTTGGAAAACTATCAGACAGAATATCGAAGTTTAGTCAAAGAGCATTTATGATATTATGAACTGAAGCAGCATAAGCCATGGTTCGACAAAGGATGTTCAAATCTATTGGATCACAGGAAACTAGCCACAATGCAGTGGTTATAGCAAATGGGGATAATCAGAACAATGTCAGACTTGAAGTTAATGGGCAATTCACAAGCAAAAAAGGAGGAAATACACAGAAGGCAAAATTAATGAACTGGCAACACACAGTAAGAACAAGAACATTACAGACTTATACTAGATAGAGAAATAAATGCATTTAAGAAGGGTTACCAGCCTAGAAATAATTTGGTAAAGGATGAGAACAGTGGTCTTACTGAGTCCCACAGTATTTTGAAGAAGTGCAAGGATTACTACTGATGTGTTTAGGGTTATGTTAGGCAGATGGAAATACATATAGCTGAGCCATTAGTACCTGAGCTTAGTCCTTCTGAGATTGAAATTGCTACTGCAAAGTTGAATAGGCATAAATGGCCAGGTACTGATCAGATTCTTGCAGGAGGTGAACATTATGTTCTGAGATCCATAAAATCATTAATTATTTTGGAATAAGGAAGACCCTGAGGAGTGGAAAGACAGTAAGTACAAAATGACGATGAAATCGACTACAGTTACCGAGCCATATCACTGTAATCAACTTCATATAAAATTGTATCCAACATCCGCTCTGAAGGTCAAGTCCATATGCAGACAGTGTAAGAGATGAACTACTCATTAGACTTTTGCATTTGTCAGATATTGGAGAAAAGGTGAGAATACAATGAGATGGTACATCAGCTATCCACTGTACAATATTTTCAGAGTTCAGAGTACTCGTGAAACTGGATAGGCTGATTAAAATGTGTTTAAAGAAAACCTGTAGTAAAGCCTGTACAAGTAAACATTGTCTGATTTTTTCTATTCAAAACAAGATGTTTCATCATCATCATCATCATCATCATCACGGCAAATTTAAGATATTTGGGAAATTGTATGTATGATGGGTAGGCCTCCTTGGCCCTTGCACCATGACCTACAGTGGTCTATTGTGCTTTATTTGGGAACTTACTTACTTACTCACGGAGCTGAGCCCTTCTTGAGGAGCCGCCAATTCTGCAGCTACTCGAGAATTTCCCAGCATTTTATGGAACCTGAAGGTTCATTACCGTGTTCACAAGAGCCCTCCACGGGTCCCAAAAGTAACAAATCAGAATTGCTGCCTCAGGAAACTACCACCTGCACATTTCATCATATCCCTGATTCTGTTCCAAAGTCCTGCCAATTCAATTGTGGACAAGAAACTCAGTTTCTGGATGGGCTCTTGAACACAGTAAAGTAAAGTAAAGTAAAGTAAAGTAAAGCTATCCCTGTACCAGGCCATGAAGGCCCATAGGGTTGTGAGACGTTGAGGGTCCCACATTATCTAGACAGTCGGCTCAAAAGATGGCGGTAAGGTTGTGAGCCTTATGCGCCGGCCGCGCTTTACTCCCAAGGAAAATTATTTAATTAATTCCTGGTACTCATTTCTGATAAAGGCTGAAAGGACCCCAGGGCCATAGGGCAGCTGGAAGGATTAGGTCAATTGAGAAAAAATTCAATGACCTCATCGGGACTTGAACCTGCGACCTTCCGGCTAAGGAAAATGTGCACTGACATGGCAGGGAACATGGTCCATGGATCCGTCAATGTACACTGTCCTGTCATGGTTGAAATGCACATTAATATATGAAATGTTTATCATCTATAGATGTTTCATTGCAAATCCATGATCAATATTACAAGCTGTAAGACTTAAAGACAAACGGTAAAATAATATGCCATATAGATTCTGAACCAAATATACATGAAATTTATACTGATAGGACCAGAATCCGAGATGACTCAAGAAAGACATGTCATGTTACTCTATGGTCATTCCTTGTACACTAAACCTACTATGGCAGCAAATTAGCTGAGCAATAACTTAAAAAACTGCAACATGATCATTACCTTTTCTATCAGGCTTCGTGCACCTCTTCAATAATCGAATGGAGTCCTTGGCAAACTGCCGCCCTGGTTCAACAAATTTTGTCACCTGATCCATGACGAATCCAATACGCTGTCAACTGTATAACTGAAACAAGAATGACTAAAAATGTGGCTTATGAACATAAAAGCTAGGGTATATAAAATATTCAAGTTTTTAGGTCTGTATTGTCACATGTTAGTGACTAGACATGGGTTTGGATTGGTAATTGGATTTACTGAACACTTACAATAGTAACAACAAAGGCTTATAACATTCCGACTAACTTACACACTTTACAAATCAGTAGAGCACATGCCAAGTCGTTGCTACGTTCATTATATAACCTTGGGGCGGCCCCGCACAGAAAACACCGCTTCCAATAGTTCCATTGTTGATGTGTAACCGTTGCCTAGTAACCTATTCTCAATCCGCTATTCCAGCTTTCAGCCGCCATACCACAGTATCTTGTTAGATTTAACTGAGCCCGACAGCATCATTTTCCACAGATTACCTACAATCAGCCCATGGTGTACGGAACTCACGTTTGGCACACTAACGAATGTCATTTACATTTACGTAGCACAAGTGAAAGCTAAAACTGTCACATCGCAGACAGACAATTAAATTTCGAACTATTGCCCTCCAGAAAATCTGGTAATTTTATTTTCATCTAATGTTCGGGAAATGGTTATTATGATCTCTAAAGGTTATGTTTAAAAATAAACAGCCATGCAGATCAGTATTTTCTTCCACGACGAATAATATACAAATTCAACTATTTCATTGCTAGCTCTACTCTCATTTTTTGTATATACTAAGATAGAAACTTACCGATACGTACGTCCACGTACTATATTTCAAGTCCTGTCTTCTATTAGCCAACACTAAAACACGTCACTGCTCTCTCTCGCGACCTCAACGACCTCCACCAACCAACCTTCCTGTCGCTTCCTGTAAGTGTTGCATGCAAACGTCTTCGTGTCGCTTCGTGTAACAAAATTATTTCCCTCTGGTGATAATTTCTGGCATTACGTATATAGCGTCCCAAACTTATTTAGTAATCCGTGATTTCTTCCCATCTGTTGACGGCGTTGACAGTTTGTCATAAACAGCGACCGATTTCGAGGGCTCTTATGATCAATGAGAGAATGAAGTGCGTAATCGGAGAAAAGTTTGCAGAACAGTAGAAGAATGTCTGTAGCAGGCTGTAGGGAAGTTGACTGTACTATAGAACGCTATAGAAGTTCAGTAGGTGTGAATTACCATCGAGAGGTATATTTGGTACATTGGCACGAGACAGGCTAGCTGCGACAGTTTACTGTTAACGTACAATTTGTTGCTGGATACATGAAATCACATACAATGGAGCATGTGTTGTTCTTTGCAGTAATGTGGGCATTTGTTTTTCCGAACGCATTCTCTGTTCCTATTGAAGACTGTGGTAAGAGATTACGATATATTTGTTCAAGAGGTCATAGAAAATGTAAAAATCTTTAAAATCTTCCAGTGCTCCTTTTACGAAGAAATTTGAATTTGTGTTGCCAATGTAGTCACATTTTTTTTTTCAGGATCCAAAGTAGGAAGCTTTACAAATGTTGCCATATCATCGTGTAAAGGGACGGATCCTGTTTGTATTCTGAGAAAGAAATCAAATGTTACCTTGGATATTTTATTTACTACAAGTAAGGAAAGTGACTGTAGTATGTTGGTAATATATGTAGTAATAATATCTCGTGTATTTGATTTTCCAAGGGACAGTTGTTGAACAAAAATAAAACCTGGATAAATTGTATGAGTGCAGTATCGATTACATGTACACCATCTACAAACATTCTGGATTTGTTGAAAACAAAGGCAAAGAGCTATCCCTGTAACAGGCCATGAATGCTTGTAGGGCTGTGAAACTTTTTTTAGACAATCAGCTCACAGACAGTGGTGAGGTTGTCAGCCTTATGCACTGGCCGCCCTTTACCCCTCCCACTGCAGGAAGATTTCTGGTATTCAATTCTGTTAGAGGATGAGTTGACCCCAGGGTCAGTGTGTGGCTCTCAGGGTTCGTCAGTTGACTATTAATTGTTAGCAACAGTTCCCAATATTTTTTTTGATGTTATCAAATTTTGTATACAGATTTCTAAAGTTCGATTATGTTATTCAGCAACACAGTTTAAGTTGAAGAAAGCAGTCTTCTGGGATTTGGCACCGTGTCGGTTAACACCACATCTACACGGTGCCACATCCCAGAAGACTGCTTTCTTCATAGTCACTGCTGTGAAAGCCTCAAATCTTACAGTTTAAGTTATTTGTTATTTATGATGTAGTGGTGCCTTATATTGTCAAATTATAGGATAATTAGTGAGTGATGAATTCGAAAGAATGTCAAAGGAAGTGATCATGGCCTATTTAAAGGCACTATCCCAGCATTCACTTGCAGGGCCTGAGGAAAACTTTGAAAGACTTTGGGCTCCTTGCGGTCTCAGCTGAATTTCAAACCAGTCGCCTCTGAAATACAAGCCAGAAGCATTACTGCCCGAGCCAACTTGCTTCGTCTTATTTGGTGCTGAATGATGTGAGACTGTTATTCATGTAGAAGTAGCTATGCCACTTTTTAGGTATTCTGTCATTTGCATCTGAGAACCAGGGACCATTGAAAACCTCAGGATATTTGGTTCTGATCAAAGCTAGGTACCTCCTCATAAAAGCCATGCTTTAGCAGTTAACAAATTTGTTTTTTGTTTTGAGTTGCATTTAACTTTCTTGTCATCCTGGTGTGTATATTTTCAGATGTTACTGATAACTCTGTGAAGGCAGAGGTACACGGTATTATTCAGGGACTACCTATACCATGGCCTGTTCAGAATCCAAATGCTTGCCAGTCAAGTGGTCTAACGTGCCCTCTGGAGCCTGGAAATAAATACCATTATACAGCCACATTTAGAATCCTGCAGTCATACCCCACAGTAAGTTCATGCCCGTAGTCCGCTTATAAATTCATTTCCCATTGAATTATGCAGAAAGTCTATGATGACTTAGAGTTTGTATTCATATAGTATTAGAAATTCAGAACAGTGTAATGGTTTGTATTTTGGGCAAGTATTGATTTTTGTCTGGTTGTGAAATCTCTTTCTTTAATGGGAAAACAGAAATTGCAAGTATCTGAAAACAAGGTAAATGTAAAGTTGTTCCTGTGCTTAGCTAATTAAGCACTACACCAAGAAGGCTCGTGGAGGAGTGGAAGTATAGATGCACATTTTCTTGACCCTGGCACTAACTGGAGGTGAGTGGTCAGCTTCACGCCCTGGTTGTTTTCCCTGTGGGGAAGGAGCCCCCAGTACCCATTGGATAGGAGGTTGGGTGGACCCCAGAGCCAGTCTGGATAACCTGGAAAACAGAAAATTCTTGACCTTACCGGGACTCGAACTCCAGCCAGTATCCAGTTGCTATACTGACTACGCTATCCTGGCTCCACTAAAAACAAGGTGCTCAGGATAATATGTGAACATATCAAGGATGGGCAGTTTATGATATTACGTAACAAGGAACTATATACACTGATATATTGGGTTTTTGGACTTTATCCATCGTCCTGGTTTTTAAGATAACAAATAAAAACACGATGTTTCGGAAACTGGATCCGAAACACTGTGTTTTTATTTGTTATCTTAAAAACCAGGACGATGGATAAAGTCCAAAAACCCAATATATCAGTGTATTATACACCATCGTCAGAATCCTATAGTAAGGAACTATATAGTTTACAGTCCGTGGCCTAATATTATTAAGATAATGAAATTCAGGACTTTGTAGTTGTCTGGATATGTAGCTTGGATGGTAAAGAAAAATGCATTCAGAATTCTTAAGGGGAGGTCTCTTGGAAAGCAGCCACCTCAAAAATATAGGAAGAGATGGGAGGATACTACTAAGACAGACTTTTGGGAAGCATAAGATTTGATAATTTTTTGGCCATGCCATTTTACAAGAAGTCCACTGAAAGTCAGCCAGTGTTTCAGAGGAACTTGTCACCTCAGTCATCAGGGTCAGAGAATAAAGAAAGCAAGAAACCAGCATGAAACAGGTAGCAGGCAGAGCAACAGACTACATGGCCTTGTATCCAAACCACTGCTACGGGAACCTCAAATCCTACATAATGATTTATATTGCAGTCTCATGACACTGTGTGGGTGGTCACGTTGATTCAGAAGGATTTGCTCCCTCCACCTTCAGAGCAAAAGTTCTGCTATGAAGATGGAGGGAACAGGTTTTTCCAAAATGATGGTAACCTCCGATCACATTATGGCAATACTTTGGGAAATGGGTTTTGAGGATGCGAGGTGGATGCAACTAACTCAGGATTGTGTCCGGAAAGATAATTAGTGCCAGTAGCTAGTGTGTACCTTGTCAGATGGTAAGATGATAGTTGAATTATGAATGGGCATGGCCTAATCATAGTAACATTTGGCATTGACACGACATTACTGGCAATAACCACAAAAAACTTCAGTCAGGATAGCCTGTGCCCCAGGTGAGATTCAAACCAAGCACATCCCGAATGAGTCAGGCAGCTGCCCAGTAGGATTTGACATCAGTGATAATGTTACAGTTTCCCATTTCTGTGTCTATAGTGGCTTGATGCTTGACTCTTGGCTCAGTAATCACAGTGTCCACTGCATGACACTTCTGGAAATGTTTTAGAATGAGGATGTCAACAGGTTTATTGTCTACTTTGCTGCTATGGTTCTGCTTAGCCTTCAGGAACATATTCACGTTTTTTGTTGATATTTTTGGCTGCTGACTTTGTCAAACTGGGCTCCTGAGCAGTTGTTTAATAACTAATATCTTATTCTGTCAAGTCCAAAATTCCACATTTTATGCTCAGTGTATAACTCATTTACCTTGTTTCATTTTGAGCCTATTGCATGATTTTGTTAGTTAATGTACTTAAACTTTGAGCCGTTCTAAGGTTTAGCTCGCTCACGTATGATGTCATCATGTTTCCCTTGATGGATTCCATCCCCACTATGCAGTATCCTGACATCAGTCATGTGGTCCCTTGTACCCTCTCGTGAAGGGGAGAATTGTACAGGGCAGTCGTGTAGACCAAGTTGACTTGGAAGGTCGGTTACTAGCCAGCAGGTTTGTTGTGGAAAATATTGGTTTCGGCTGGGGCTATTCTAAATTCCCTTTTGGTGCTATCTGGCTGGCCAGTAAGGACTGCCCGCGGTCGCAAGCCGTTGCTTGAATGCTTGCGACGCGCGTTATTAGATTTAGTTTGGTAT